ACGGCCATCCCCGTGGACAAGGACTCGCTCTACAAGCCCGTGGACCGCGCGCCGCGCGCCTTCCACAAGCAGGTGCTGCCGAAGAAGCTCGTCGAGGCCCTGCCCTTCGCGTCGAAGCCGAAAGGCGCGACGGCGCCGAAGTCGTCCAAGCGGCCGGGCTACCTCGCGAGCCGCGGCGACGCGCGGACGGGCCTCGCGCACCCGGAGGCGCCCGAGGCGCGCGCGGCGAAGAAACTGGTCCACCAGCTCAACGCGCTGCGCAACGACAAGAAGCGCACGCGCGACGCGACGAGGGACGTCGCGAAGCAGGCGCGCGCGGCGAAGCTCGCGAAGATCGACGCGTCCAAGGCCAAGTCGTCCAAGGCCAAGGCCAAGGCCGAGTACAAGCGCCAGGGCAAGGACTCGGCCAAGCAGCGCGCCAAGTTCGGGGGGGACTAAAAGCGCCTGGATTAATCGCGTTTCCTACGTGGCGTCGGGGAACCGCCGCACGATACGCTGGCGCACGGATGTCGGGAGGACTGTGTGCAGAATCGCGCCGGCCGCGACCGCCGTCATGGCCATGCGCGGCTGGAATATGAGGTTTCGTCCATTGGGTTTGGCTCCACGCGCTTGGGCCGTTGCCGGAAGAGCGCGTAGGAGCGCTGGTCGGGGGCGTCGCGCCCGCGCGGCGCGCCCGCGAACGCGAGGACCGTGTCGTGCACGTCCGTCGGTAGTCGCGGCAGCTCGCACAAAAGGGCCTCGAGCTCGAGCCGCCGCTCGCGGCGCTTCGCCTTGCGGCGCTCGACAAGATTGACTTTAAAAAATTTCTTCCAGCTCGCTTGCCTCTGACGTATCGTTTCTTTGTCCTCCCAGCAATGTTCGCGGACGACGGCGTCGTAGAAGCGGGCCCCGTAGATCATCTGGAGTATCGAATATTCCGGCCAAGTCGATTCACACCGGTAAAAGGAACCCCTCGTACGGAGGCCATCCCTTTTGTAGCGGAAGTTGTGATACATCGTCGAGAGTTCGCCGTGCGCGTTCACGCGGAGAAGCACGTGGGCCAGAAAGCCAAGCCACGGGTGGCCAGAGAGCCGGGCAGCGACGTGCGAAGGGAGCACGACGCACGCTGTGCACACGAGGGCCGCGTTTCCGGGAACAAACGAGAGGAGCACGAGCGGTGGAAGCAGCGTCTGCCCAACTCCCCGCAGCGGCAGAGAAATCAGTCTGTGGAAGGCGTCTTCAGTCATGCGCGCTTGCACGAATCGGAGAAGCGCACTCCGGATCCACGGAAACGCGGCCCCAAAAATAAAGACGACGGCAATGACGCCCGTGACGCTCGAGAACCAGAACGAGACCTCGGCGTCCCCCGCGTAGTAGGGACTCGCGAGGCGGCACTCGTAGGCAAGCGCGAGGAGCCGCAAAGACAGGGGCGCGGCGGGCGTCATGATGAGCGCGCCGATCATGGTCCAGGTGCAGTACAATCTTGCGGTCGCGTACTTGCTCAAGCCGTAGCACCAGGCGAGAAAGAATCCCTGAAGGAAACGCAGCGGACCGAGCGTGAAGCGGACGTACCATCGGAAGAGATCCGAGGCTCGATCGAGCAGGACGCCCGCGGCGATGCCGGCCATCGAAGAGTAACTTGGCAAGGCCCACAGGCCCTCGAACTTGCAGGTGTACGCCACGTCGAGGACTTCCCAGGTCGGACACTCGTGCTGCAAGCCGCCCGGTGAGAGGTGCACGCCCGCGTACAGGCCCGTCGCANAGTCGACGTTCGTCCACTCCGCGATTTTGTCCACCTCCCAATCCATGCCCGCGTCGATGAGCCCTCCCTCGTCGATGAGGTCTTCGGCCTCGGCGGCCTCCCGAGGCCGTGCGCGCTCGGCCCATGCCTCTTCGTCCTCCCGGGTAGGGCGACGCGCAGCTTCGA